AATTCCGGCTGAAAATGATGGAATTCTGGCCAAAAATAATGGAATTTTGTCGGAAAATTATGGGAAATGGGGTGGGGAGTGAAGGGAAGCGGGAGCCGGGATCTGGGTGGTTTTTCCAAAGGATTTTTTCCATCCCAAACCATTCCAGGATTCCCTGGGCTGGTTTCTTTGGGATTTCTGGGATAAATCCTGGATCCTGCCGGAGATTTTCCATGGATTCCCCATCCCTGGGAGTCTCCAGGACCCCCTGGCACGGTGGGAATGTCCCCAGCCCAGGATTTTTAAGGATCTTTTCCATCCCAAACCATTCCAGCATTCCCTGTTTTGGCTCAGATGGGATTTTTGGGATAAATCCCGGATCCCAGCCCAGATTTTTCCATGGATTCCCCACCCCTGGATCCACCTGGAATTTCCGTGGGATTGGGGCGGGATCGGATGGGATTTAAGGACCTTTTCCATCCCAAACCATTCCAGGATTTTGGTTTGGTTTTTTTTTTCCCTGCATTTTCAGGATAAATCCCAGATCCTGCTCCAGATTTCCACGGATTCCCCACCCCTGGAATTGCTCAAACCCATCCCAGGGATTATCCCAGGGGGTGGAACCAGACGATCCAACCCCAAATCCCCACCAAATCCCACAAATCCCAAAATCCCGACGCCCGACTCGGCGTTCCGAAGCCGCAGCCGCCTCTGACTCAACCTCACCCCAATTAAAACCTCGCTCCGGCCCCACTTTTCCAGTTTTTCCCCTTCCCAGATAAAAATCTGCCAGCTCCCCAAAATTCCTCCGGGAATGTGGGAATTTCCCTCCCACCTTCCAAAGGAAACCCTGGAAAAATCGGGAATTTCCAGCTCCTCCCACACCCCGGGGATTTTAGGGATTTTAGGATCCTCCCCTTCCTCTCCCTGGATTTATTTTATTTTTTCCCAACCTCGGTTTTGTTCCCTATTTTTTATTTGGAGCTTTCCGGAGCTGCTGCTGCTTCTGTTTTTCCTTGGAATTTTTTTTTTTTTCCCGGTTGGAATGATGGAGGTGGGATCCTTCTCCCCGAAATCCGATGCAGGTAAGAGATTCCCACTGGGAGAAAATTTGGGAATTTTTCCTGCCCTGGGATCTTTCCCGTATTCCCTCAGGAGCTGTTGGAAATTGGGATTTTGTGGCTCTGACGGGCAGAAAACATGGAAAAAAATGGGATTTTCCCCCATTTCCCAAACCCCAAATGGGATTTTTCCCCATTTTCCAAACCCCAATGGAATTTTTCCCCATTTTCCAAACCCCAAATGGATTTTTTCCTCATTTTCCAAACCCCAAATGGAATTTTTCCCCATTTTCCAAACCCCAATGGAATTTTTCCTCATTTTCCAAACCCCAATGGATTTTTTCCTCATTTTCCAAACCCCCAAATGGAATTTTTTTCCCATTTTCCAAGCCCCAAATGAAATATTATTATTTTTTTATTTAAGTTACTAATGATCATTTACATAATTTATATTATTTGTAATTATTATTTCTATTATTTCCATTATTATTAATATTCTTTATATTATTATTTGTATTATTTGTAATTATTATTATATAATTTATATTTATATTCTTTATAACTATTATTTCTATTTTTGTTATTTCTATTATTTCTAATTATTCCTATTATTTCTATTTATATTATTTGCAATTATTATTTCTCTTATTTCTCTTATTATTTACGTTGTCTATATGATTTTTATATTTATATTATAATTATTTATATTATTTCTATTATTATTTCTATTACTTCTATTATTATTTCTATTACTTCTAATTATTTCTATTATTTCAATTTCTATTATTTGTAATTATTTCTGTTATTTCTATTATTATTTCTATTATTTCTACCATTATTATTTCTAATTTTTATTATAATTTCTCCAATAATAATCACTCTAAATAATTACATAATTTTTTATAATTATCACTAATATTATTAATACAATCACGATTTCTATTATTTCTAATTTATATTAAAAAAAAGTGATTGAAATCCAAGTTTTTTGCTCTAATTCCCAATTTTTTTCCCCAGGAAAATGCGGATCGTGCGGTCCTGGCTACGCCTCCCCTCTGGAAGCGATGAAAGGCAAGCCCGGAATTCCGGGAATTCTGGAATAGCCGGAAAATCCCGTCCTCCAGAACCGGAATTCCCATGGAGAGAATTCCCTGGAAATCTGGGAATTCCGGAGTTTCCCCACCCCGCCCTTCATCCCTGGGATTGGGAAAGGATTCCCTGGAAATTTGGGGCTGGATCCAAGGATTTTGGGTCTCTGCCTTGGATCCAAACACTTGTCCTGGGTTGGGATTTGATTTGTTCCCATTCCCATTCCCACATTCCCATTCCCAATCCTGATCCCATTCCCGTTCCCATTCCCAGTTTCCCATTCCCACATTCCCAATCCCATTCCCACATTCCTATTCCCATTTCCCATTTCCCGTTCCCATTTTCCCAATCCCATTCCCATATTCCCAATTCCCATTCCCACTCTCATTTTCCCATTCTCGTTTTCCCATTCCCATTCCCACATTCCTATTCCCATTTCCCATTCCCAGTTTCCCATTCCCATTCCCATTCCCAGTTTCCCATTCCCATTCCCATTCCCAATCCCAATCCCAATCCCATTCCCATTCCCACATTCCCAATCCCATTCCCACATTCCTATTCCCATTTCCCATTCCCATTTTCCCATTTCCATTCCCATTCCCATTTTCCCAATCCCATTCCCACATTCCCATTCCCATTCCCCATTTTCCCAATCCCATTCCCACATTCCCATTCCCATTCCCAATCCCAATCCCATTCCCACATTCCCAATCCCATTCCCATTCCCATTTTCCCGATCCCATTCCCACATTCCCATTCCCCCAATCCCGTTCCCGATCCCATTCCCATTTTCCCAATCCCATTCCCATTTTCCCAATCCCATTCCCATTTTCCCAATCCCAATCCCAATCCCATTCCCATTCCCATTCCCCCATTCCCATTCCCATTTTCCCAATCCCATTCCCATTCCCACATTCCCGATCCCATTCCCACATTCCCATTCCCCCAATCCCAATCCCATTCCCATTCCCATTCTCATTTTCCCATTCCCATTCCCCCATTCCCATTCCCCCATTCCCATTTTCCCATTCCCGATCCTCTCAGATCAGCTCCTCCAGGGATGGGATCTCGGATTTGGGAATTCCGGGGATCCCAAGGATCTCTTCCCAACCTCAATCACCATCCCGGACTTCCCGAGGGAGCCCGAAATCCACGGATCCCATCCCAAAAAAAACAAAACCCCATCACGGAACAGCGGGAAAACTCGGATCCAACCATCCCAAAAAAATTCCGCTCCGGGAATTTTTCCCTCCTCCGGACCCGCATTTTTCCAACATTCCCGTTTTTCCAGGCCCTCGGGAAAAGATCGTCTACGTGCCCTGCATCTACAGGAACACCGGGAAGGAAATTCCCGATTTTCTGGCCACGGTGGACGTGGATCCCGAATCCCCCTCCTACAGCCAGGTGCTTTTTCCATGGAAAAATCCCAAAATTTCTGGGATTCCCGCCCAGGGATGGTGGGGTGAGGGTGCGGAAGGTGGGATGCGCCGATGGAATCATAAAATCATGGAATTACGGAATTTTTCAGGTTGGAAAAGGCCTTTAAATCCCCAAAGTGCCGCATCCACGCTCTTTTATTTTTTCCCGGGAATTCCAAGGATGGGAATTCCCCGCCTGATCCCATTTTCCAGGAAGGAATTTCCGCTAATATCCATTGATCCCCCCCCCAAAAAAAACCCAAAATCCATGGAAAAGCCATCCCAAACCTCACCCCAGGATTCCCGTTTGGGATTTTTGGGAATCTAGGTCTCCACGACCCCAAAAACTGGGAAGGGATGGAGGTCGGGAATTCTGTGATCCCAAAATCCTGGAATGGTTTGGGTGGGAAGGATCCTTAAGGATCATCCAGATCCAAGGGCAGGGACATTCCCACCGTCCCAGGCTGATCCGCCAGATCCAAGGGCAGGGACATTCCCACCGTCCCAGGCTGATCCGAGATGGTCTTGGAGAATTCCAGGGGTGGGGAATCCATGGAAAAAATCTGGGCCGGGATCCGGGATTTATCCCGAAAATCCAAAACAGGGAATCCTGGAATGCTTTGGGATGGAAAAGATCCCAAAGAGCCTTAAAAATTCCGGGCTGGGGACATTCCCAGAGTGCCAGGGAGCTCCAGGGATGGAGAATCCATGGAAAATCTCGGGCAGGATCCAGGATTTATCCCAGAAATCCCAAAGAAACCAGATTTATCCCAGAAATCCCAAAGAAACCAGCCCAGGGAATCCTGGAATGGTTTGGGATGGAAAAGATCCTTAAATCCCATCCAACCCCACCCCAATCCCAGGGGCAGGGACATTCCCGGTGTTCCAGGGATGGAGAATCCATGGAAAAATCTGGGCTGGGATCCGGGATTTATCCCAGAAATCCCAAAGAAACCAAAACAGGGAATGCTGGAATGGTTTGGGATGAAAAAGATCCTTAAATCCCATCCAATCCCACGGCAGGGACATTCCCGATGTTCCAGGTGGATCCAGGAATGGGGAATCCATGGAAAATCTCGGGCAGGATCCAGGATTTATCCCAGAAATCCCAAAGAAACCAAAACAGGGAATCCTGGAATGGTTTGGGATGGAAAAGATCCTTAAATCCCATCCAATCCCACCCCAATCCCACGGCAGGGACATTCCCGGTGTTCCAGGTGGATCCAGGGGTGGGGAATCCATGGAAAATCTCCAGCAGGATCCAGGATTTATCCCAAAAATCCCAAAGAAACCAGCCCAGGGAATCCTGGAAAATTTTGGGATTGGATTTGGGCACATTCCCGGCTGGAATTCCCTTTTTTCCCAGGTTATCCACCGGCTGCCCATGCCCAACGTGGGGGACGAGCTGCACCACTCGGGCTGGAACGCCTGCAGCAGCTGCCACGGGGATCCCGGCAAATCCCGGGATTTCCTCATCCTGCCCGCCCTCGTCTCATCCCGAATCTACGTCGTGGACGTGGCCAGCCAGCCCCGAGCTCCCCGCATCCACAAGGTTCCCGGGATCGACGGGAGTTGGGATCACCGGGAGTTGGGATCGGGGGGATTTGGGACTGGGGGGAGTTGGGATCTGTAGGAGTTGGGATTTGGGGGAGTTGGGATCACAGGGAATTAGGATCAGGGGGAATTGGGATCACGGGGAATTGGGATCAGGGGGAGTTGGGATCACGGGGTGTTGGGATCACCAGGAATTGGGATCAGGGGGAATTGGGATCACAGGGAATTGGGATCACGGGGAGTTGGGATCTGTAGGAGTTGGGATCACAGGGAATTGGGATCACGGGGAGTTGGGATCTGTAGGAGTTGGGATCACCAGGAATTGGGATCACGGGGAGT